TTAAAAAGTCTTAATGAATATAATCTTTTAAATAAAATAAGTTATATTTTATATTTAAATAAACAAATATATTTACTGAGGATTTTTTCATCATTACCGCATTCTTTTGAAAGTTGAATTAACATATCGTGAAGCATTTTACATAATTTCAAGCTATCTTTAATATATTTTCTTCCATGTTCACCTTCCCACTCTCTTCCAGCTTCAATTGCACCAAATTCTAATCTGCTCCCTTTCAACCTAAATATTCCATCACCTTTTCTTCCAATCTTCTTCCGATCTGTTACATGGTTTGATTGATTCTTTCTATCACTCGAAGCTCTACTCATTCCATCAACTCGTATTAGATTAATATTTGAATTACGAAATGCGGAGTCAATAAGTGGGCCCCATATGTTTAATTGATACCATCCTTCTAATTTTGATGGGTCCTGAGAGAAGTCGTCATCAGCTTCCCAGAACGTATGCATGATGCTGTACGCAAGGCGAACGTAATTTAGATCAAAATGTTCCTTGTTAGAATATGATGTGCCGGTGGGTAGAAAGGGTTCAAAAATAATTTTTCGAAACTCGGATAAGTCTTTTACTGAGTACTTTTTCATAAGATTGATAGTTGATTTATCAATGTTTTGTTTCTTCTTGACTTCGAAAGAAAATATTTCATTCGTGCGTATTCATATATAACTTTTTCAACAATGGTACCACTCTTTAGCCTCCACATTTTTCGCGGATCCAGTTCATGATATGCGTTATCAAATTCGGTCAAATTAGGAATATTCGACTCGTCTTCGTTTATATTATTATCATTGGCATTCGTGAGTTTATTGTTTTGCTAAATCGAAAAATACGGATCAATAATTAAGTTCAAAGAAATTGAAACATGTTGGTGTTTACTTACTCTATCGTTTTTTACATAATCCATTTCTTCGCATTCCTCAGCAGGTATTGATTCTTCTATATTGTACTTGGTTATATTGGTTGAAGAAGGCTCCTTCTTCTTGATTGAAGCACCATCTCCTTGACGGATACGAAGCATTATATTCATTCGGGTTAATTCTTCTGTTGCAAGATGTTTTGCCTTTACGTAATTTGTGAAATATTAATTAGTATTTTTTACCTTATCTGCACAGTGAAGGATCAATGATTTACAAAAACTTTTGTTTTAATTCTGTTACTAGTTGCTTACTTCGTTAACTTCTTCAATACCATCCTCAATCTCCTTATTTTCGGTGTCACCGATTTGGTTTTTGAACTGTCTATTGGTAGTTTTCTTTGGGACTTCACCATGATCTTTAGAAGATGATGCCAATTTGTCAGATGGCTTTTTAATGTTCAGCCTTTCATTCAAATTTTCATTAAATGCAACATGTGCCTTGAGTTTCCCTCTCTTTACTTTTTTCTATTATTCGATGTTGGTTTTTGTGAGTACCAGCTCAGTTTGCAAAGTTTAAGTAAAAATTAACATACATCAGCTTTCCGGATAATTTTCTCATCCTCATACCGAGCCCAGTCTTCATCGTATTCGTGACGTTCCCAGCCTCTTTTTAAATTTAATAATTTTTCTGATTGTGGAGTTTCTTGCAAAGTCTGCCTTAGTCGTAATTCATAATCTCGGTGAGCATTTGAACGACTACGATAATTAAACCTCTTATAAAAATTAGAGGGACGAGGATCTCTGTGATTTAGCAAGAAACTTTTTTGTTTCTCTCGACGCGTTTCGGTCATTTCGATGAAGTAACTATCCTGAACACAAAAATATTACGTAATGTTTATTCTAGATGCATCATATTTTGTCACATGATTTATCAAAAAATAATCATAGATCTATCAAAAACGAAATCTTTTCGTTATATTTATTACCAACCTCTCACGCCTTAATATAAACTGTTTGGACTTGTTCTACCTAAGTATCAAATTTATTATATTATCTATTTCGCTATAAAAACACAGCTGGCTTACTCGAGCAGAAAAAACTGAGCTTATTCACTTGTATTCTGCGGATTAAAATGAAAATCATAAACCCTGCGCAAGTGTCTGCTAGGTATTAAGTTGAAGGTCGGGAAAAGACTGAGCTCATTCATCTGGATAGCAGGGACGTTATTACCAATCGGGAGTCCACCTGCGAATGACTGCGCTCGACCAGATGGATACGCTTCAACACCGGCTGTGTTGACTTACTTCTATATCATATACTAAACACACATAAATTTCATATTGTTTTAACATATAAGCCTAAAAATGATTGCAACCACTGCCAATAATTAAATCGTGAAATCATGCTTCTATGGAAAGTATTTTTCTAATTTTTTTATCATGAACATTTGACAGGAAAAAATAATTCTGTAATGTCTACTTTCCAGTTACCTAGATTTCCGATCAAATTCATGTGCAAAAATTATGCTATTAATATGGAGATTCATAAAAAAAAAGAAAAGCAATAGTTGCTGATAGAACAGAGTACATGATGAACAAGAAACTCATACAAAATTATTAATTATATTATTAAATTTTATTAAATTATTATTTTTATCCAGCCAGGAGATAGAAAATATGAAATCACCTGAGATAACCGGTAACGACCAACTGGTATATATTCACCAACAAAATGAGTATAACAAATTTGTGGGATTGTTGTCACTGCATATTTCGTACAGATATAACTAATAACCATTTTTATTCTATTCAGAACATCGATAACAAACGAAATCAGATTATAATTAATATTGAGATAATGTGCTAATGTAGATAGTTTAGATGAACGAAAACTTATGGTGTAGACGATAGTATATAAATAATAGATAGATTTGATTATTTTTTATTTTATTACAATCAATAAAGCAATGCGATTTTAAAAATATTCTTTTTGCGCGGTTAACCTTTTGAATATATCCTATTTTGTAATAAAACAATGTCGGACGATCAATTAACAATCAACACCTTGAGAGAATTAAACTCTAGGCTTGCATCCGAGATTACTGAACTTAGAAAAGAAAATGCCGAAATTCCAGAACTTTGAAAGAAATTTGCCGAAGTTGAGGCTAAAAAGGGCGATCTTGAGGCCAAGAATACCGAGCTTTTAAAACAGATTATAGAAGAGAACACTAAACGCGAAGCTGATACTGTTGAACTCAAGGCTAGAATCAAGGAGCTAGAAAAAAATAAAATAGATGCTACTATCCTCAAGATCGAAAACGATGAGCTTAAAGCTAGAGTTGCGAAATTGGAACAGAAGCAATCGCAAACCGATGATGATGCCAAGGTGATCGATCGATTTTCAATCTGCGAAGCAGGATACTCTGTGTCTAATACCACCTCTATTAAAATAGAAAATTCTAACGATACTCCGGCATCTAATATATTTGATAATACTTCAAATTCTAAAGTTACTTATGAACAGATAATCCCACGTAATGAGGAGTCTAACACATCTAGCCACGAAGTGACTGCCTCCGGCAATTTCGATACACAACAGGAATTAGAGACCTCTACATCTCCTATCCCTGCGGAAACTATATCACTGGAAGAGAAAGAAGAAAATGAATTTCTGGATTCGACGTATAGGGAACAGGTTAGTAAAGAGATAATTCAGAGCATTAGGGAGAAGAAACTTCAGGGTCAAGAGAAAATCATAACTTCCCAGGATACTAAATCTTCTTTGAGTGTAAAAGGCGAACAGGGGTTGATCCAAGAATTATTTACTCTAGAGCCGTCTCTTCAAGAATCGCAAATAATTCAAAATCATGTGAGTGAAATTTCAGAGACCAGCGGTTCCGGAGAATCTAACATTGACGAAGCATGGCAACATCTAGCTCAATTATGTAATAAAGCTTTCGATGCTGAAGATAAAGCAAATCGAGCTAATCA